TACACCAGTAGCACCCCCCGGCCCAGGGAACAGGGGACCCCCCCCTGGGGCCTTTTTGTTAGGTTATGTTTTGTACCCAAAAAAAACCCCAAAACCCGGTTGAAAAAGCCCAAAACCCGGGCCCAATTGTGGCCCTTTTTTTTTCTTCGTTTCGGGGACGGCCCCCCAAGCCAAACAGAAACCAAAATTGGCCTTCACGGCCAGGGGCGCGGACGTTTTAACCGACAAACAAGGGGGGGGGGGGGGGGGCACGACAACAGTAAACGCGTCCTCGGTGGGTCGCTCTCACGAACCTTCTTGCCCGCCTTCACCACGATCTCCGGGGCGGTGGCGACGTACTCGTGGACTATGTTGTGGAGCTCTTCCACGTGCGGCGGGGACGGCACCTGGCGGTAGTGGACGCTCAGGGAAAACTGTTCCGAAAAAAAAAACACGGCAGTTTCACAGCACCACAGCAACCACGGCACGAAAGGGGGGGGAGAAGGGCAGGGTCGTAGCAAAAACAACGTACCAGTTAGTTGTTTGCGACAGGGTGAACTGACTCGGCGCCAAGATATTGACTGGGATGGTTGGTTGCCTGTGGTGCGGGTTGATTGTGGAAGAAAGACAAAGGGACAGGGGATAGGGGACGGGTCTCCTGGACACCCACAGCGCGGCGCGTTGGTACGGCTGGTCCAGTAAGATATTTCTGTCAAAGCTTCGACGCTACTAAGCTTCGACGCTACTGTAAATAGTTAGTTTGTTGGCGGTCTGGTAAACGTGGAACATGGGGGGTAGCTGGGTTGGTTTTCTAGGTTGTAGAGGTCAAACATCAGCGTTTCTTGACGTCGAGACAGCAGCATGAAGATGAACCACAACAGACAACAAACAATAACAACAAGTACACGACTGTGGTCTGTCTCCTCATGTTTGTGATTCTTGTCCTGATAACAATTGAAGTGCATGGGTCCGCCAGAAATGCGGTTGTAATTCTTCGCTTTACAGCCGAAGCGCTTGTGTCTGCCACAAACTCCAATATCCGCATGGAACTACCCCCACAACAATTTCCCCTGGTCTAACATCACGCATTTACCAAACACCTACTCTTGCAAATCCACCGTGCTGTCCCAGTTGAACAAACGTCGACACTGGTTTGTTGGTCGGGTGAAGGACCTTATCCTTCATCCCGTCCATCAGGTCTCAAGAACCACTCTCTCTAAGGCTATAGTTCGGCCAAGCTTGTTACATGAAGTTGGCTGGTAAATCCCGTAGGACACGCAAGATACCACACCCCCGTGGACCGATTTGCAAAGCTCGATTTCTCCACGACGAAGAGGATGCATGGATGAAACGATACGTTTTCGGAAAGGCCCCGACGAGATGGCTCCAACGCCGCCGTTTTCGGTGCTGCCACTCGTTCTGCTGTAGGCGAAATCGAGCTTTGAAAATCGGTCCTGGGAGTGCGGTACCTTATGTCACCTGCGTTAGTCTGGCTGATACCTGATGACTGACTGACCTTGTTGTCCTCTATCTCGTACTTACTCATCTCGCTTTGTCTCGTGTTTAGTCTGGCTGAGTACCTGACTGCCTGAAGTGACTGTGTTAAGGTGTACAGCATGTCCACTACCCTACAAGTCAGAGTGAGCGCTGACTTGTAGGGTAGTGGATATGCTGTGCATCCTAGCAGACTGACCTTGTTGTCCTCTATCTCGTACCCCTGGATGTGGCCGAGTAAAGAGTGAAGGGTGTCGGTGGTGGCCTCGAGCATTGGCCTCATGTCCTCCGCCATCTTGCGAGAAAAAAAAACAACACGTGATGCACACAAGCGTGTTCGCGTTTCTTAGTCCCGCCATAGCGTAAGACGGACGCCTCTGCATTGGTCAGCCCGCTTATCAATAAATAGCGCGGTCGATGCAATTCCTAAGAATTTTGGCCCGTGTTCCCGTGTTCCGGATGCTAGTTTTTTATTGCTCGCTGACACGGACGTTCCTTGGATTAATGTCGTCAGCCCGCTAACGCGGGCATGCCAAGTACCGGGAACTAACCACACATACGTCACAAAACACTTTAAAATCGCTTGCTAGTTTTTTCCTGGACTCTTTGATCTGTGGATAGAAATCGGTTTGTTTTTTTGCTCTTGTGCAAAAAAATACAATGACACACACGACTGACGTATTTCCATTATTCAGCCGGCTAGAGCGATGCTATTATTAATAAAGACACACACACACCCCTAACTACAAAGCGTGTGAGCGTTTTTTATTCCGCTACTCAAGACGGACATATTTCCATTAGTCACCCGGCTAGCGCGGTCAATGCAGATTGAAAAAAAAACATGCACACACACAAACACGAACACACCTGGCACTTGACCGGCCTGTCCAGCGGGCCTTGGATCTCGAGCCCGTGGCTGCCCGCGTAAAACACGTCGTCCAGCCCCACGAAGTTGTAGACCTTGTCCTTGCTGCGCCCGGTCACGATCGCCGTCGTGAACACCGAGGCCGCCTGTGTGAGAGAGGGAGACAGACCACGGACAGACCACGACAGAGCGGCGAAATTAAGTCGCTGCGATTATCTTGCGACTGCTGCATGCATATAGAATGCGCCGCCACTCAAAAACCTCATATTTGGGCAAGACTCGTTTCTTGTGTTGTCTATGGGGTACCAATCCCCACGGCGACTATATAGGTTTTAGTGTACTGTTATAGCCTTCTTGATTGAGTACCTGTTGTTATGGCCAAGTTCTTAGACTTTGATATTTTTTAGCCTCAAGTTCTTAAAAACTGCCAGCAATTATGGTGGCGCGCCCATACTGTTGGCACACCCGTATAGAAAAGCTAGGGGTATATTCGCGAGTCTTGCAACTTTACCGCTCGGTTCTGAGTTCGCGAACGAACGCTGCCGTATTTTTGGCGTGTGATTTTGCAAACACACAATTCAAGCAAGAAAGACTGCACGCGATGCATGGGAAAAAGCACTGAAGAAGCGGTGCTGGAGAGGCGTTTTGAGTCGGAAATACTGCACATGACGCACTATAATATAATAAACACGTACTGTACTGTAGATTCGTAGGGCGGGTGAGTGTGTACTCCCTTTATCCTCGGTTGGTCACCCTTCTCGTCGCACACAGTATGCGCACGGTGAGGATCAAGGCCAGTACGCCAGAACAGCAGTTCATGGTTACCAGCCAGCAGCGCACGTCCCACCGCACCCCACTGCTGGACATAATAATTTTTCGCCTACGCCTTGCAGCGAGTCCCCCCCTCCGCCTTCCCCTCTGCGTCCCCCCCCCCCCCCCCCCCACCTGAGCGAGAACGGGCCGCATCCCCTCTTTCATGAACGCCTTGTCCGGCTGGTCCACGATGGGGGACAGAGTCCCGTCGTAGTCCAAGAACAGCACCACCTGGATCGAGAAGAAAAAGAGAGCGATCGAGAAATGAGAGAGTGAGACAGAGATAAATATAAATAGAGAGAGGGAGAGGAAGGGGGAGAGAGTGAGAGGAGGGCGTCAAGAACAGGGCGTCAAAGTATCAAGCCAGCTCGGTGTCCGGCGCTTGCTGAAGGCCCTCCCCGCTCAAGAGACAGAAAACTGACTGATTCGTTCTGCTTTCGTTCGTGTTTTCAACTACCCTCGCGAGCGGGGGTCACACAGAACTGAGGGTTTCATTTTCTTCTGTTTTGGTGGTGGTGCTGTGGCCATCGTTGAAAAATTTCTGTTCCAAACATGTTCCATGCACTCGAAAAATAACATTACTCTTTGTACTGGTCTTCGGACCAAAAAAATTGCTTCGCGGTGTACCAGTAGCTACGACAACAGATAAGAACACACAACACACCCCCTGGTATTTTTTGGCCCCGGGTACTCGTATATTTGGAAGTAACATCCCTTCCCCCGCCTACCTTCCAGAATGCCCCGAGATGTTATCTTTTCCCCCCTACAACCTCCGAATGCCCCCCGGCGCGTTCTCGAAGGATGTTGCGGTACGAAGTACGTGCCCCTCTCACATTCACACACCCGCCGAACCAACTACCCAACACCTTCCTTCTACACCTTCCCAGCAAAACATACAACAGATAGATGCACAAGGCGGCTACCAAACTGTGTTGTTAACCCTGTTACCCACGGGGGAGATATCACTGCTGTGTGTTGCTCGGGAAATCGTGGAAAAACAGAACTTTCGCTGACGCTATAGAATCATTGCTAATCTATCTTGGACCCTTTTCTTCGATGGAGATGGATTCGTAGGGTCAAAATAAAACGAAAAAGAGATGAAAAACTTTTGCTGCTTTCTCGACGTGTCCAAAAAGTTTCCCTTCTAGAAAATTATTATTCGAGCTTGTGTATACTAGAATACGCAACATTCTTCTGTGGGTGGGTGAGAGTCGCAGAGAGAGATATACCGGGACGGACTCGCGAAAAAAAGAAGGCGGCAACAGCACAACGGGTATTATTCGAATATGCTGCTCTGTATGTGCACTCAGGGCATGTTGGTGTAACCGCGGGCCGTGAACCACAAGATTGAGATTTCAAAACATGCGTCGATATGACTCACAACCACCCTACACATACATACAGTAGTTATTCTCGGGTCGTCCAAGCCGGCATATCCGTAAGGATGCGGGTCTCCGCACAGGGGTGTTAGCGTTATTCAAAGCTCTCTTACCCCGCAACTAGGACGGTGCGAAGGCCAAACAACACGTCTAAGGAAAGATCTCGACGAGATATTTCCAAAACCGCCCTTTTCGGCAGTGTTGCCTTCCTAGTTGTCGAGTGGTGAAGCTTTGAAAAACGCTGACACCCCTGTGCGGAGACCCGCATCCTGACGGTAGTAGTGCTTCCTGATGCCCGGTGTTCAACATAGCTTTATTAGTCAACTCTGGTCATGGACAGCAAAATGAAGCGCTCTCGGCGGTGCATGTGAATACTCTGGACACGGAGTTTTTCACTATTTGGGTTCGCTCGGCTATGTACTCGAGTCGAATAAAGAGTTCTTTGGCTCTGCGTATAGGCGTATGGCGCATGCATGCATGCATGTACGGATCGATGTTACCCCGTGATTCCTGTCACTCACGCCTGCCCGGAGCGGGTTCAGCGCTTCTCCAACCCTACAATACACCAAACGTTTTTCCCATTTCGCGGCTGGCTCTGTGTTGGAGATTCTGCCGGCGCAACAACCGAACTATGAACACTGCTGTTGTAAGGATTTCAAGCGCATGCATGCATGTACGGATCGATGTTACCCCGTGATTCCTGTCACTCACGCCTGCTCGGAGTGGGTTCAGCGCTTCTCCAACCCTACAATACACAAACCGTTTTTCCCACTTCGCGGCTGGCTCTGTGTTGGAGATTCTGCCGGCGCAACAACCCAACTATGAACACTGCTGTTGTAAGGATTTCAAGCGCATCCCTTGTAAGTCATCCATGCCCCGGCTGGGCGGTCCTTCACCATTTACCATGCCCTCCAACCACAACCACTGAACCAGGCGCGTGGAAGCAAGCAGGGTCATTGGTACACACAGATGGATCACGCCGAGGGCCTGCTCTGTAAAGACGGTCAGGGGAAAACGCGCGGCGGGCGCGCTGTTCGACACACTTGTTGGCATTCAGCAGCGACGTATATGATCGATGCGCACATACGATGGATTCGCGCGAATCTATAATGCGCGTGTTGTGTGTTTTGTGCGCTCCTTTTGTGGCACTTATGCGGACCCCGGTCGGCGTTGCTTCCAGTTTCTTTTTGATTTGTTCCGAAGACTACCGGCAGTTTTTGGGGGACGAAAAGGATTGAAGATCTTGTGTTGTACAACATACCGGGTACTCTCCCATTGCTGTGCGCGTCAATGAGGAGGGGAGGAGGGGACGTGCCGGGACCATGGTCGAGATAACAAAAAAAGCAAGGCAAGCACGGCGGGAGGAGGCGGAGACAACAACAACAACAACAAAAAGAAAATCCGGCCAGAAGAAGTGCGGTAACCCGCCTTCTGCTGTTGTGTGTGACCACGGGCTGGCAAACATACAACCGAAATTGAGGTCTAGACTGGCTCCCAGTTTTTTGGAAGATGACGGGTCGAAATCACGCACACACACGCCCGATGTTCAACACAAGGGGGAACGAGGATTTGGTAAGTTCTCCCTGTATGATCTTGTCGGTTACGGCCGAAAGGGTAGGGCACGCAAATCCCCAAATCCAGCAGCCGCAGCAGCAGCAGCAGCAACAACAACAACGCTAACTAAGGCCTTGCGGTGCTTCAGAGGCTCTCTATAGTCGCGGTGAGCAACTGCTAGAAGAAGCTGTTGGCTCGTTCCTTCTTCCAAGGGTGACAAGTGAGGTGTTGCAATTCCGAGAAATCAAACAGAAAAAGCCTGGCAGTATTCTTTCTCTTTTCTACTATTGCTGTGCCTGCTGTGCTGCCGTGCGTGTCGGCGAAACTCGGAGAGCGCGGCCGACTCCAACGCCTCGCCCGTACCTCGACCCTGACGGGTTCCGCCAAGCGTGCGTACGAGGTGCTGTATCGACCACCCAAGGGTGTGGGTCATGGCTCGTTTGTCAGGCAAACGGGGTGTTACCGCGTGGCCACAAAACGTGGGGCTTTTGAAGCTCGAACGTCGAAATCAAAAGGTCGTGTGGAAGAGGAGAGCGAGAGCGCTCTCATAGGTGCTTTGGGGTTTGTCCAAGCGGTGATGTCGACGGAAGCCTTCTGGTCAGGCGGTAGGCGACCCCACAGGCCGGAACGCCAGGGAAACCCATGTGCTTAGCTAGGAGGCAGAGCTTCTCCCCTACCCTGCTCTACAAAGAAGCGCACCTGCTTCTTGTCCATCAGCGACTTGATTTTGGCCCAGTGTTCGATTGCGTTGTCTTTATGGAGACGGGCCGCGGCATCGTCTCTGCTGCTGCTGCTTCTCCCCTCCACCATTGCTCCCGCCGCTGGGGCTGTCATGGCCGTGGCCATGGTTTGCTTCGCTGTCGGTCAGTGCACACGTGATCTCCTCTCCGCCCTCTTTTCCCCACCCCGCTCTGCTCTAAAAACCGCAGTCCCCAGCTCTCGTCAACGAGAAAACACGCACGTGCGCTTGAGGGCGTAGGCAGGTACTAAGTAAGGTAGTGGCCAACAGAGAGAGAGAGTGAGCTATAGCTCCTCCGCCTAGTTGGGGTATGATACTGGTGATTGGGCTGTCGTTCGGCTGCCGTGTGCTCTATGGGTTGTTTGTAATGCTCTGGTGCGCTCCGGTAGGCCCGAGTTTTCAACAGTTGCGCCGCAATATTGCGAGAGAGAGAGCGGGTGCCGCGTGAAACGGTTCGGATCTGCTAGGTTCGTAAGCGCCGAGCACCCACCTGTTGCCGCATTCATTTATCACGGGTGCGGTGCGGTCTGGGTCAGACTCGAAAGGCGGGCCGATTGCCCCTATCCTATGACTCTCCCTTTCGCGAGTGTGACGGACAGCTCAACGAAATGAATAATACGTTCCGTATGCTACAGCATCAGTAGTGATGGACAAAGTGTGTGTGCTCAAGTACCGAAAAGTGCTCATACAACGCATATTTGTGTACGTGCTGCTGCTCCAACGGATCAGATGGGAGTTAGCGTGAGCTGGGGTGCTGATGAAGGTTCACAACACCAATCCAAACTATCCCAATAAAACATCTAGCAAGATCGTGCTCCACGCTTGTATGGGACATGTGTACGAACAAGAAAGAAATCGGTGACCTTTGCCACCCGAACCCTGTAAGGGGAGAACGGCAATCACCCTGTGACAACGGCGATTGCCCGCGTGCACCCCATGCTGCCGTTCTGCGCACAAATCGACCAAGCTGGTCGAGACGAAGAGCAGCACAATTGTCTGACGAACACGTTTCCACTGGGTGACACATACATGCAAGACGCACGACCGTACATGTAGTCTACATTGTCGATCCCCCACGAACCCTCAGAACAGCCTTGCTTGCCTCGTTCGGCCTATTACTACTGGTACGATCCTTCCGCCGTTGTCCGTAGGATGGATTACATACTACGCGTTCGTTTCCAGCGGTAAAACCGGGACGATACTCTTCGGTGCTCCAACGCCACCAGCGCAAACACTATCTTCGCCGTCCCTGCCAGCACGGCGCAATCCCTGCGATACGAGGAACCCGTGTCTTCCTCTTCTCCGTTCTCGACGGCGGTCCGCGATTCGTGGTGGTATTGTTCCTCTTTCTGGCCAAGCTCGGTGTCCTTCTTGTGCCCCTTTCCTTTTCGCGGTGCGTCTCCCCTTTCATCAAGCGAAGCTTGACCTATGGCCTCGGCGTGTTTCGTCTCGGTCGCGATGTACGATGTGTGGCGCTGCATTCCGTGCCTCTCGCTTCCTTTCCGCCCCGCCCCGGGTACCGTTTCGCCATCCCCGTGCTCTTCTTCTTCTTCTTCTATTAGCTTCTTTTCAGTTGCGTTGACCATCCGAACAGAGCAAGCCGTATCCGGTTCTTCCTTGTCAGGGATGGTAAACGTCGTTTCACTCTTTTCCTCCGACTCTGGCGCCTGCGTACGTGTTTGCGCCGGCGAACCTTCGACCGAATGGTCATTGTGAAACGCCGACTTGGGAATCTGTTGTTGCAGTTCTCGTCGTGCAGTTGACGGCACGGTAGCAGGTACCTCTTTGACAGCTGACGTCGTCTCTCTCAAAAGGCTCGTTGTTTGATCTCGGGCCTTCTCCTCGCATGTAGGTGAGATGGTGTTTTCTAGTCCTTCAGAGGAAAGCGGAGACGGTGTTGTTGGTGCCCAATCATCGCCAGGTTGGTTTGCTGCAGGCTCGTGATCTCGATCTTGGACCTCGCCCGCCGTGCCCCTCCTGAAACTACCACCAGTTTGTTGCCTCTCCCCTTTGTCGTTGCTGTCCTCGTGGATGGGCATGAGAGACGGCGGATCCCGAGTTGCCGCGCAAACTAGCAACAGTTCCGGGGCAGCGTGGGGGGAAGCTTGGGGCGCCGAACGACCGTCAAGCGACGTTCTGCTCTCTTTCGGTCCGACCCCGGAAAGCAACGGTGCAGGCGCGAGCGGCATCGGTGGCATCGGTGGGTAAAGAGGACGGCGGCTTTCCGTGGGCAGCGGTGGCATGTCGTGGAATCTAGCTTCCTCCGTATCTTCATCGCCCGTCCCTCGTTCAATGGTCCTCTTGGCTGGAGCTTGTTCTACGAGCCCATTTTCCTTGCCGGGGCTGCCGGCCCCATGACGAGGCGATGACATCCGCGCCGACGCGGCCGATTTCGGGAACTCTTTCGAATCTTGAGACGAAGCTCCTCTCTGAATGTCGATCGAATCGTGAGACGAAGCTCGTGCTTCTTCTGATGCGGTCTGAGCCGCACAATCGGATGTCTTGGTGACTTCACGTCCGCGACTCTCCCCCGTACAACCCCGAGCCCTCCACCTGCGGCGATGCGACAACGTAACACAACGGCATCACCAGAACGTACTACCAGGTACAAGATATCTACAGCCTAACGCATTTGGAAGGAACGAAGACGTCACGTGGAGGGAAGGGAGGCGGCGGATGTCCACACGCAAAACTTTATTATGGATTTAAAGCTGTTCGACCGGCCGATCGTACCCGGCATACTCTCATCACAGAGAATCACGTGTCGTGTCACACCTTGAGAATGCTAGCGCCACTTGCGGGGTGCCCTCTGAGAGTGCAGCAATTCGACATAGCCCGCCGCCGGTGTCATTGCGCAGGTCAAAAGGCTTGCTCCTTGCCAGTAAGAATGCGATCTTGAAGGCTGCGACCGTGCACTTCGCGTTGTGTAGCTTCCGCTCAAGATGCTGAGAAATCAGACCGGCAGATATCAACAAGGAGTGGCAGCAACACGAGGTTGAGGCTGGGCCGGAAAGGCTGGGCCGGAAAGGCTGAGCCGGTATCGAGTGTTCCTCTCTTGTACGTGTTTTCTTTGCTCTTATTGCGTATCTTCACGCGCGTTCACTTGCCCCGTCTTAAGGTTCCGAGCTTATGGAGCAAAATGGAAAGCTGATATAGGAAGTTGTGAGCGACGAACAGGAGGGAGAGAGAACGGATGATGGTCTTCGGGGACGCAAACGCGGCCAAACGATGAAATAATCCTATTTACGACATCAATCCCAACGACTTATGGGTGTGATACCCCAGAATCTACTGGTGGCCCCTTTCACTGTGAGCTTGTGATGAACAACTGCAAGCACCGGCTTGCGACATATGCATCACGAGGAACAACACACGTTCAGCGACGGGTCCTTGAAGGAACACTGCAGTGGGAGAAGGTGGGGATAGACATGGGCAGGTTCGCCTTTACCTGTGTCTGAGCTGCGTGGTTCACTTCTTTCACAAGACTTGCTGTATCGGCCTGCCCCACTCCCTCCCGCTTGCTGTCGTCTGCTACTTCCACACGAGCCGGTGATTCGGCCTGCCCCGCTCCCTCCCGCTTGCTAACGTCGACAGCGGCTTCTCCAGGCACTGTGTTCGACATCTGCTGTGCCTCGATGGTAGGATCGAGGACGGGGTTCGGTTTGAGCGCGCGCGTCAAAGCTGGCCTGCCTTGCCCCAACGATGGCCAAGATGAGCTCCGGCGCGCTACAGCGCTGTCCGTTTTCCATTCCGATGCCGCCGGAGTGCCGTTGACCTTGTGTCCATGCCCTACGGGTGGGCCATCCGGGACAGTACTCCGTATCGATTGAGCTGGTAGTGCAACGCCGCCCTCAAGATAGGTCTCGAAGTTGCCAACGTTGTGGAAGTCTTCACTGGTGCATCGTGAGCTTCTACTTACCCCTTGCTGTTCGCTGCCGGAGAGCAACCCTTCGACCCTTCCGGCGCTCTCTCCCAAACAAGGGGTCTCTTGAACACCGACAGACGCCCCAGCGGCGGATGAAACTCTGTCCTCCTGTCGTTGAGACGCGCCCACACTGCTGCGACACCCGCGACCCGGTGCCTGTTCCGCCTCGACATCCACCCCTGCAACGCTGCCATGAGATCTTCCATCCGACTCTGACCCCTCGCACGGGTACAAATCTTCGCCGCAGTGTGCTTCGCGTCTCGGTGATTCCTCGTTCATCGCACAACGGCTGCGTTTCGGTTCCTCCCGCAGGCTTGTCAACCCAGCTTGACCCACAGGTAGCGATTGAACGTCTGCGCCTGGTCCGCTATCGCCGAACGCTACAAAACCGCGAATGCCAGGACGGGTAAGGTTGACCCGTTCGAGCGCTTCCCCATCGCGAACAACTTGAGTGCTCCCTGGCAGCGAAACAGCCCTTGGAACCGGTGTGGAAACTATGTCCGCGCAGGCCTCGCCGATCAGGCACCCGGCTTCGGTTTGAGTTTGAGCGTGTGCTTCTGGTCGTACGCTGTCACATGCCTCTGTCTCCGTTCCTCCACATGGGTGGCATTTCGTTTGCGGAGTCTGCGGAGCTTGAGCTAGCGCCCTATCGCCCTCGCCCAATCCCGGTAGACAGGCTACCGTACCGCGGTAGGCTGTTGGAATCGATGAAGCAGGAATTTCTTCCCTGGTCGAAAGAGACATTTCACGATGGCGGAGCGAGAAGCGAGGTAACAACGGTGTGTGCCGCGTACGTATGGTGCCTTATGCATTTCATGCCTCTTCTTGAGTCATTCATGGAGTTGCGCAGCAGTGCATTGTGTGGTGTGGGCGATCGTGCGTAAATTGAGGGGGAAAGTCATAGTCCTACTATCGTTACACCGTGAAGTGCGTGCGTGGGATTGGGGTTCACTCGTAAAATGGAAAGTAAGGGAACCTCTTGGCGACGTATCTCCACGATGTCTGATGACCGTGACCTCCTCAACCGATTCAACTCGCATTTGCCTGGCCTGGCAATCGTTTTCGTACAGGACGCGAGCAAACGTTCAAGCCGTCGCCACTTTTGACGTTGGGGGGTCTTCTATTGCTGCTGTTGCATACCTAGTCGAAGAGATTTCGTCAACACAGCTTGCCCTCCGTTCCGTTCCTCCGCGGCGCCTGCTCCCTTGTGTCGAGAAGCTTCGAGGAGAGTCCGGTGGGTGGAACGCCGCGTCGGTCTCCGTAAACGTGTTCACGCTCACTCTACAGGCAAAATTTTCTCCACCTTTAACCTGCGCAAACATGGAGGTGCAGGACGGGCGGATGCAATAAAGCACATCTGCACAACGCAGTCTCTTGTACGTGCTTCGCGTTGGAGAACATAGCAGCCATTTGCGCGAACCCAGGAGGGCGCGCACAGTCAAATCTGCACTGAATGGCATTTTAGAACAGAGATAATGAGACGAGGTTCTTCGGGGACGCAAATGCGGCTAAACGGTGAAATAATCCTACTTCGTACGTCAAACCCAAAGACATGTGGATGTGATACCCCGAAACCTCCTGGTGTCCCCTTCACCGTGAGCTTGTGATGAACAACTGCAAGCACCGGCTTGCGACATATGCATAACGAGGAACAACACACGTTCAGCGACGGGTCCTTGAAGGAACACTGCAGTGGGAGAAGGTGGGGATAGACACGGGCAGGTTCGCCTTTACCTGTGTCTGAGCTGCGTGGTTCACTTCTTTCACAAGACTTGCTGTATCGGCCTGCCCCACTCCCTCCCGCTTGCTGTCGTCTGCTACTTCCACACGAGCCGGTGATTCGGCCTGCCCCGCTCCCTCCCGCTTGCTAACGTCGACAGCGGCTTCTCCAGGCACTGTGTTCGACATCTGCTGTGCCTCGATGGTAGGATCGAGGACGGGGTTCGGTTTGAGCGCGCGCGTCAAAGCTGAGGGCAGCAGCACCGAGCCGCCACCTTGCCCCAACGACGGCCAAGATGAGCTCCGGCGCGCTACAACGCTGTCCGTTTTCCATTCCGATGCCGCCGGAGTGCCGTTGACCTTGTGTCCATGCCCTACGGGTGGGCCATCCGGAACAGTACTCCGTATCGATTGAGCTGGTGGTACAACGCCGCCCTCAAGATAGGTCTCGAAGTTGCCAACGTTGTGGAAGTCTTCACTGGTGCATCGTGAGCTCCTACTTACCCCTTGCTGTTCGCTGCCGGAGAGCAACCCTTCGACCCTTCCGGCGCTCTCTCCCAAACAAGGGGTCTCTTGAACACCGACAGACGCCCCAGCGGCGGATGAAACTCTGTCCTCCTGTCGTTGAGACGCGCCCACACTGCTGCGATACCGGCAACCCCATGCTTGTTCCGCCTCGACATCCACCCCTGCAACACTGCCATGAGATCTTCCATCCGACTCTGACCCCTCGCACGGGTACAAATCTTCGCCGCAGTGTGCTTCGCGTCTCGGTGATTCCTCGTTCATCGCGCAACGGCTGCGTTTCGGTTCCTCCCGCAGGCTTGTCAACCCAGCTTGACCCGCCGGTACCCAGCGAGCATCTGCGCCTGGTCTGCTACCGCCGAACCCTACCGCACGCCGACGACCGGTGAGATTGACCCATTCGAGCGTTTCTCCATCGCGAAAAACGCGCGCGTTTTCTGCGCGCGGTGCATCACTCGGAGCCAGTGCAGAAGCTAAACCCGCACACGCCTCGCCGATCAGGCACCCGGCTTCGGTTTGAGTCTGAGCGTGTGCTTCTGGTCGTACGCTGTCGCGTGCCTCTGTCTGTGTATCCGCGTATCGGCGGGGTTTCGTCTGCCGGGCTTGAGCTAGCGCCCTGCCGCCCTTGACCGCTCCCGGTAGATAGTCTACCGTGCTGGGGCATGCTTTTGGAATCGATGAAGCAGATTCCCTGGTCGAAAGAGACATTTATCGGTGGCGGAGCGGGAGGCGAGGTAACAACGGTGTTGCCACGTACGTCTGGTGCCATACCAAGCCTGTTCTTGACACACCGAGAAGTGCATGAGTGGGATTAAGACTTGAGTCGCCAAATGGAAAGCCAAGGAAACCTATTTCCGACCCTACTCCACGATATCTGTCGAGCGCGAACTCTTCGGACCGAGATTAACACAGGACGAGAGGAAGCGTTACAACGCCGTCGTCACGTTCAACTTCGGAATCTCCTTAGTGTTGCTGATGCGTACCTCCTTGAAGGCGCGTGCTCCGCATAGCGTGCCCCCCGTTCCCTTCCTCCTCGACGCCCATTCCCTTGTGTCGAGGAGCTTCGAGGAAAGTCCGGTGGGTGGAACGCCGCGTCGGTCTCGGTAAACGTGTTCACGTTCGCTCTATAGGCATCGTTTTCTCCACCTTGAGCCTGCGGGAATATAGCGGGTGCGGGATGGGCGGAGTTTGAAGAGCACGTGTGCACAACGTAGTCTTTGCATTTGCTTCACGTTGGAGAGGATAACAACCAACTCCCACTAAGCCCATTCCCAGCACCTAATTAACGAGATCTTGTGAATAACGAGATCTTACATGCATCGATTGAAAGCATCACATCCTGAACAATATTACGTACCACTTGCGGGCCAGTCACCAATGACAACCGATCCTGAGACTCCATGCCACACCACCAATTAAGGCCTTGCAGCACCTACTCCTGCTGATGGTGTGCTCGCATCCCGACCATAGTGATCTGTGTCTGATTCATCCCCTGTTCCTTCAAAACACATCGACCGACAGCCTGTATGTGACACACCCGTAAACGAACGATGCATGGGAGCCCTCACGGAGAACCGCTTACGTGAATATCCATTGCTCTAGCGTATGTCGACTGTCCTGCTGGGTGGATGTTTGCTGGCGGCGCAATCGATTCCACCTTTCTCCGGAGGGCCACCACCTGCCGTCGGTGAGAAGCGTGGGTGAGCAATTCTTCAACACGAGAAGCCTGTACGAAGCTACTTTCGTTTTACCAACTGCAATTTTTCCCAAAAATGATTTTGGCGATTCTGCCGCCTCCTACGTTGCACGGCCACTGCTGTCCTTCCGCTCTGTAGCTTCCGCTCGTTACTCGACGTGCTACACCACTTCGTGCTCTCTTCTCAAAGGAATGACAGGGTTCACATTTCTTCCCCTCGTGACCCCAGGTTTCCGAACAATTAATGAAACTACAATCCGATACGTTCCATCAATAAACCGCATTACATTCTGTCTGTTCGACGAATAAACTTTCCTGTGTTTTCACACTGGAATCCTGGAGCGAGGAAATGATCTTCCGACACGAACTCGCCTGCGATGGGAACGTCTCCTCATTTATAATGGGAACTACCTTACTTATTCTCGATGCTCCTGTTGTCATGGACTAGAAATTACATGAACAGCGTAAGTGTCCAAATGTGTTAAACCTCGGGGCATGGGAAGTACCTGTCTTGCCAGCTCGCTGTTGCTGTCTTGGAGCCCCTTGTTGTACATGCGCGCGCTGTCTAGTTTCTGCGGATGTTGAAAACGAGAGACGCGCATCCGAGCACGTTAAGGTTCACCACTGCCGTCCGCCTCTGAGAAACCATGATAGCGTGGTAAGGCATGTATTAAGATGCATCCGTTTGTGCCCAAGGTTGAGACAGGCCGAACATGACCAATCCGCAACAAGCATCTCACGAATCGAGGGAAAGGGGAGGAGCACGAACGTTTGGTGTTGAAAGGGTTAAACTCGTGTAGTCTTCGGTATTGTTGATAGAAATTTTGAGATGAACGCACGTGTTGTCAACAAATGGCCACGACCCTATAAATCAACACAGCCGTTGCTCACATGCTTCAAGGCATGCGTCTCTGCGACGTGGGCAACGTTCTGACGCCTCGAACCCGTACAGCTCTCAACATTTTCCGGCCGGGTCGCGTTCGTCGTCGGCTGGCGTGTGTGACGCCCAGCTCTCTTCCTCTGTGTTTTCCGTAGACCCGTCCCTTCTCGCGACACATCGCCTTCCCTGGACAAGTATGACATGGCCCATGCCGTGTCCAGTCCGCAAGACCCGTCCAATCTCTCGGCCGATTTCCTGACGCCCTGGAGCTCACCTGAAGGGTCATGCCAACCCCTGCCATCCAAAACTGGAGCATCGATGGCAGGAGCTACGTCTCGTCTTGTGTGGCCGCGCTTGCGGCATACTCCAGGGTCGGCACTACGATTCGATCGGGTGCGACTGGAGTAGCGAGTCCAGCCCTTCCCGGGTTCTGCCCAGCCGTTGCCTGGAGAAAAGGGCCTCTTATCCGTCAAGCAATAGGAACTGTTGGTGGGCGCATCTGTAGCAGGGTAGTAGGTCTTCGATTCGCAGTCCCGACATGGGCGATGCCGCTCGTGGGATACGGACACGCTGTCGCGGCAAGGACGGCGTCCGCCTACGGCTCCAGGGGTAAGTTGCGGCGGTGGCGGCGGGGGGGCTCCCCGGGGTTTGAGGTGTCCTCCCCCGTGCAGAGGGCAGTCCATGCCTCCTTGCAAGGTGAAAATCGCCTCGATGTCGGAAGATCGCCAAGACGCCCGTCGAAATCTCGCTCTGTTGCATGTAGCCTGCCGGTCCTCCTCATTGTAGGATTTTGTCGGCAACTGTGATTTTTGCCGACGTCTATCACCTGGGAGATCATTAATGCCGATTGTCATCGAGAATGATGGCGCTCTCGTTGAGCCTCTTGCATAGTCTTATGTCTGGGTACAGGAAGGTGCGTGCATAGCACGTGGTTGATGGTTCTACGGGCGCGGCGGCGAGTACGACGGCGAAGACGGCAAGGCGGCGGGTAAAACGGAAAATTGGTTCTTGTTGGTTCTTCGCTACAATTCCGCCGCGTTCTTACGGACCGCAGAGTAGCGTAGATGCGTAGATGTGAGCCCCGCGTGCCGACGTGATGGTGCGTGACCAATCACCACCAGTACAACGTTATAGCGCCTCTGACCTCTAACCTGGTGTTGTACTGGTTGAATCTTAACGCACATATCCGCATCCTTGGTGCCTTCAGTCTTCAGTCGTCCCGACAGGAAACATGCGGCGCAATTAGAAGAAGATCGTGTCGGCTTGGTTGGAGGGCACATTCAACATCTCGCAGCAACGCTTACCTCTCGCAGCATGGGCTTCTCTTCCGGGGTGGTTCCCCTAGCGCTAGTTGATCTAGCTCAGGTCAGCTCTGTTCCTCACAAGCAAGGGCAAAGGCGGTAGTCTACTCGTTTCTCCCCAAGCCTGTGGATCTGATTGAGGGTGCCAAAACAACGCGCATACCAAAGATAGTCGTGGTACACGTACGCCGGTGACTCTGCACGCAAGGCACAGAATATCCGCAGTTCGTTGTGTTTTGTGCCTGCAAGCGAGAAACCTCTACTTTCTGCAAAGCTGAAGCTGCAAACGCACTCTACAGCAGCAATACCCTCGTATTTGTAGTGACGACGAACGCACACCACCCAGCGGCAGCAACAAGCTTTACCTTTGGTCTTTTCTACAGTATGATCGACACATCTTTCTTTTTGCTACATTGTACTGTACACCGGACTACATACATGTACGAGTACGAAGAAGTATGTACAACGATCTCCACACAGAAAAGAGCCTTCACGCCAAATTGTTGTTGTCGTTGCTCTCTTCACATTAAGCTCGTGTCTGTTGCTAATCCCAAAATCTAGCAAAGACTCGGTCCGTGGTCACACATTGCGAAAGCGAATCAGGTTCAAGATATCGTTGTGAACATGCCGAACATCTATTCTGGCCGTTCTCATTAAAACGAACAAATCTGCAAGGTTGTTGTTATTTTCTGGTTTTGATCTCCATCCAGTACCTCGTCCTCCTCCCTGTTCTTCGAAGGCAAAGAAATACATTTCTGTGATCACAAATTAGTTAACCAGATACTAATGAACACAGCAGTATCATCATGCAAATAAGGCCCCGCGTCGCACCGCTCAGGCCATTTGCCGCATGTAGTCCATTGCCGTTGAAGAACCTTGCAACAACGCCTGTTTTTCAGTGGTATCATTGAAGGTGGTGATTCTGAGCATGCTGACCTCATCGGCTCTGTAGAAGGGGCACAGCAGCTTCTCGTCCAACATCAGACAACCCATAATCACCTTGGCAACCCTATTGATTCGATCGATTCATCTGCCGTCCTACCTGCGCCGCTGGTACTACCGCTGACACGACAGGTGTCAACAGTTTCCCACAAGGGAACGCTAGGATTACTCCCTCCCGGCAAAAAGGGCCGACAGAAGTTTGTGGTGAGTTGGTGATACGATAGCAACAGAGTGGTGTCATCACCGCGCATGCAAGGGGATTCGAAGCGGGGGCATTTTATCAAGGAGATGCCATAAAATTACGGTCAATTTTTCCAATTTTGAGAGCGGAAGGGGTAAAGAAGAGTGACATTTGGTGCGAGTCTAGGTTCTCTTCAGCTGCACGGGATCAATATCAACAGCAACAGCATGTTAGTGCAGAGAAGGTATTGGATTGCAGCTTAAAAAGCAACGAGAGTCAAGCCCTAGGCTGCACCAAATACCACAAATTCTGAGATCAAATAACATGACTCCCGCTGCATCAGGTCGGCGATGACTCAGGCACGGTGCACTGCTTCGAGATGAAACGAGGGGAAGCACAGACAGTCTTCTCGTTCCGGTTCGCCGACAGTTACGAAAGCAGCGGCAGTGGCAGTGCTGGCACGGGGAGCATGATAACGGCCGTTGTCATGGGGGGCACAACAGGAGGTTCTGGCGGGGGCGACAGAATCTTCGCGACGCAGGTTTGGTGCCGTTTCGTGAACGCGGTAGTTGAACGCCGTCGTCGATGGTTGCAAATTCCTTGGTTTCTAAACAAGCAGTCGCGATTGTTGGCTGAAAAAGGACGCCAGACAAAAAAAAAAGAGATTGTATTGTGTACGCGAGTACTGCCCCAGCCCAATTATCAACTCCCTGCTTCAAGCGGACTTATCGATACGTTTCTTGCTCTCTCGATTCGCAAACGACGAAAATGTCACATAGGGTTCGTCCATCGTAGGACTGAGCAGAAAAGGCAAGGACTTCTTCAAGATGGCCTCGCCATTGTCAGAGACAATCCACCACATGGCCGTCCAGAACGATAGGTACGGTACGGCGTCGTGTAGGGGCGCATACCAGCTTGTCAGTACGCCCGCTTTAACGCTGCCGACTATGTATGCCTGACACGCGAAGGTCGGAGCTCCATTCGTCGCTGCAACTGTGCGTTGCCGAAGAAAGCAATAATCCGACGTGTGGTTGACGAAACGGAATGGCGGGTCGCAAGGTCTTTGTCGTGGGGAGCAGGGTCACAACTGTGTTTGGTAGGCCCCCCCAGCTAACGCCATCCGCTCCCAGCGGACAACATAACACGGTGGAGGTTGTTCCCACGTACGCGCGGAAGCGAGCCAACACTACCTGCTTTTGTTTCGTGGTTGTGATGGAGGTCAGAATCTGGACCGGGTGCGACTACATCTGCAGCGCCTACGATGACGGCAAAGATTCTGCGTTCTACATGTGCCACGACAGAATATCGTCCCTGGTCGCCGCTAGCGTGTCGGGGACAGACTCCGTAGATGCCGTGCTGGGGTGCCAGGTACGTCGAAACAAGAGGGTATTACGCCTTGTTTGGAGTCCGGTGCCAACACCAGGTGCCCGTTCGTCGACCGGGGCTCTCCGACGCCAATAACCAGTGTAGAAAGGGTTGAGGCGAGTGAAGCAAGGTTCCGAAAGATCTCCTATTCGAAACGGGCACAGACGTGGTCAACCACCTGCTCATCGATACATTTTCGTTTGGAGGCATTGAGTTTCTACGCCAACCGTTTTTCTTGTTCGTCGCTTGATGGAAAACAAGGACCAATGCATCCGAGTCGTCAAGGCGTCACAGCCGGAGGTGGTGCTCCAAGCCTCGACTGACGCGCCGGTTGGAGCCCTCTGCACTTTCAGCAAGAGCGGCATGGGCATGGACCAGGTCAGCTCTACAAGAGAAGGCCATGCTTAGCACAACGCACCATCAAGATATCACACCCCAACGAAGACACTCCCTATCCATCTCCCCATGGTTTGTTGCAGAATTTCGGGTACATTTTATCACAAGCCATGATTTCTTCCCAATAGTGTTTTTTTTCCTTGGGAATGTGCAATGAGCAAGCCATGAGATCCGAGCGAAGGCCATTTTCACATTTCCATGAGCAGCTACAAGAATTGGGAGAGGAAGAAACCTCCATGATATTTTGCCCGATCGTTGTGTGTTGCGCATTTAGTCGAGTTCACCGATCGTTCTTGTTGTGGTACATGGAGTCTTGTGATTGTGCGCTACCATGTTTTGTTGTCGTTCTCAGACGCTATGGCATGATGATGGAGATGGAAAACTCCCGCCGCATCTTGTGCCCGGCATATTCAATGTGTGATTCAGCTGGTTTTGGTATTTAATGGACTCTGGATTGCATGGTGTTCATGCAAAATGATGACGAAAGCTCACACGTAGACCAATCAAAGAAAAGCAGCAACAACCTGCATCTGTGGTCAGACTGCGGTAGTTCTACACAACACTAGAAGGCATATAGTAGTAGAGAGGAGGCCTCAATACGCTAGGTTCCCGTGGAACTATTTGGCTCTCCTTATTCTAGGACGATGGAGGCGTCGTGTACGGCACCGACAACGGCACCCTCGGACACCTTTCCGCGTCGGGCACCGCCGCGTCATTGCTCCACAAGACCTGGGAGCTGCCGGGCGGTGGCGATGTGGGAAGAGGCGTGACAGCGCTGAAGCGGTACGATCTGACGCAAGACGGGATTGCCGAGCTCATCGTGGGTCGGGAAGATGGCACCGTTACGGCAAGTAATCGATTTTTTGTAATGCGTTTTGGGAAATAGTGGACCAACCCCGGCCGGTTTGAGGGTTGGAGGGTGGGTTGTTGTTGTGTTTCCTGGGTTTTTCTTTGTATGACGTTTAGCCGGTGGGCTTAAACAAGGAACTTTCGAGTCGGCACACCGTTCCTCCGGCTGCCTGAGGCTTAGGTCCGGCGCCCCTTGTCGGTTTAGGCCGCCAGCAAGCACAACATTTGCACAAGTAAGAGGGATTTGATGTGAACCATCTGACCGGGTGTGAGAAAGGTTGGCCCTGCCACCCCCCAATAATCATTTTGTGCCGTCCCTCCGTGCGAGGCGCAGCCGTGTGCAGTCCGTGTTTATACCGCTTCCCGACCGAACGTGGAGGATTTGGGTTGTGCACACAACAAGATACGGCAAGGCGACCTCGTAGAAAGAGCACTAAAAAACGTTTGTTCGGAAGCTCTGGGGGAACAAGAGGCGACCGCGTGCGGCCTGCGCGTGCGGCCTGCCTCGCTTGAGATCCGTAGCCGACAATCAACGCACCTCCCATGCGAAGAAGACTACACGAACACACGGTCCCGGCATATCCAGGTGTACCGGTTCCCAGAATCGAGTTCCGTGGGGAGTTGTCCGCAAGAGGCATTTTCCATCGACCTCGGGGAGAGCATTCGGTCTCTGGAGTGCGGCAAAGTCAGCAACGACCAGTACCCGGAAGTGGTGGTGTGCACGTTTCGAGGCCGAGTTTGCTCGCTCACGACACAGGCGCTTGATCAGGTTTAGCATATTCCTTTTCGTGGTGCCGATGTAGCTGTTGGCGGTGGTGAGACTGTTGCTGATTTTGCAGTCCTTGTCTTCACTCTATATTGCCGTTCGATTTTCCACAACGGCCCTCTTTTCACACCTCATCTCAACTTTGGACGATACACAAGTTGAAGAGACGCGGGGTGTGATCTGGTGGAAACACGGTTGGCGCTCCCCGGATGGGTACAACGATTTCATTGAAGGTTACACGAACCAAGCACCTTCGAAGCCGAAGCAAGGGTCTCTTAGTAGCAAGGATTGTCAGGAACGGGACTACTAATGGTATTGGCACGTACATCATCCAAAACTCGATGGGCGGATGATGGCGTGAAGAAGACTCAGCATGCGGCATTTTGCAAGATAGCCGTTTCAAAGGTCCTTCCAACAGAACCCCGCGTTACCATGGAACGGTGCAACGGACAAGCTTACATTGCTTCTGTTTCCACATTCAATAGATAGTTTGTTGCTAATCTACTCTCATCTGGTCTCCGCCGTCGATGTTGCCCCAACCTTCAAACAAACCCTATGCGCAGGGGGAAGCGGGGGACGCGTCCGGTCGTACGGTGGGGGACGTCAACGACGAGAACCGTGTCAAGCAGCTAAAAAAAGAAGTCGCGGTGAGATACACTGGCAACAGATGAGATGCGCATGAAAGAGACATGGAAGCACGTCAAGGCAATTGAGTAGTGCTGATTTCTCCCTGTTCAGTGCTTCAGCCCCGCGAGTAAGCACATGAGCCCAAACTAGTACGGGCGCCGAACGTCAACTCCGCTGGCTTCTAGACACGCACTATGTTGAGCGCCCCGAAGAACTTGCCACACACGGAAAAAAAATATCGGAATGCTAAACTCAACGCTCATCTCCTCTCTTCTCTAGCACTCACAGCTCTACACACGTCGTCACTAAACAGTCAACACGCATTGTCCTTTAGTGCCAAACCACACCAACGGAAACGGCTTTCGTGTTCGAAGGACCTGGAAAAGCGAGTGGCCACCGAGAAGAAACGTCTCGAAGCAGCAGGTGGAGGGCGAGACGGGAACGAGAGCTCGGCCGCCTACACGCCGGCAACTCAACACTTTCAGGTTCGTGGCATACTTACGGGAAACCCTACCCCGACGTCTCGCAACGAGAAAGATTATTACTCATCGCTTGTGGTTGAGGCTGGCAGATTATCGCGCAGAGCGCGCTCGTTTGTGAGCGTAACATGTGCAGACTTCACCATAATTATGGGTTCTTTGCAACTGTGAACCCACGGGAATAAAGGTGAAACACCGTGGATACGAAACACGGCGGTAGCATTGCAAGTTGGCAGTAATTTGTTTCCTGGGTGGCGTTGTTCAGGAACATGCCTTACAAGCCATTTCATTAGCGAGGTCGCAAGGGTTTTCAAAGCGATTTTTCTCATCTTCCTCTGTGAGTCTCGTTGCCATGACTCAATCATGTCTTGGATCGTAAGAGGCCACTTGAAAAGCCCGTATGTACTCTGTCTTGCACGCATAGCGTGCAAGCGGCCGTGTTCAACGGTGGACGACCCTTCGACGGGCCGGAAACATCGAGCTCAAGTAGGAGAAACTACTCTTTTGCTGTCTGAGTTCCAACACACTCGTGTGCTTTTTTGGTGCATTCGTCCACCTGCCAAAAATAAATGTGCTACGGCCAACAACAAACTAGGCCATCACGAGTTGCACCCTTGACCCGGAACAAGGCGCGTACGTCATCAGCGTGGAGACCCCGGTACCGTTGGACCTTGTCTTGCTGCACGCAGCTATCCACATGGACTTCCTAGAATCAGACGACGAGGACGATCGTGGACAGGCAAGTGGGTTTATCGTACCGTTTGTCCTGCGGCATATACTGGTGAAGAACATGTGGTACAGCTTTGGCACTTCCCAAACACGGAGAAGAGCTGTACTGGTTTGAATGTTGGCATATGTCTCTTCTTGTTCCTGTCAGCACGTGGCAGGGTTGGTGGCTTGAGCATGCGGCTTCAAAAGCTGCCTTTCCCAGCAGGCGGTAAGACGTACGTGCGTACAGCACCCACATAACCAACTCGGAGCTATTTTCAAAACTGTCAACTATGAAAAGTGAACAGGGCTCGTTGCTAATACTTGTATATACTTGCTGAACACCCCCCCCTGTCACGATAAAGAGGGGTTCTGACCTGTTCACACTGCACTTAATGGACACATGAAAAGGAGAGCACATTCTTGAATGAGCCATGAGACACTTTGTTTCGCATCGTAAATCGTTCCCGGACAATACTGTTCCTGCCCATGGTTGTTGTTGATCCTTTGCGAGAACAAGCCTTTTTTGCATCAACGAACCCCCCTGGATCGCACCAGGCAACCAGCTGCGTGACGTCGCTTAGCCCCGAGAACGGGGGAGGCGTGTGCGCCACTTATCGCTTCGAGAGCGGCGCCACCCGGCTGAGGCTGAGAGCCCGCACCACGGAGGGAGACTACGGCGACGTGCGCATGACCGTCGTCGCCAAAATCCCCCCCAAGAAGTCTGCGCAGGTGCAGTACGGCACGATACGTCGTGTTGTGTTTGTTGCATCTTAGTTAAGTGTGATATGCTGTGATTTTTCCATGGAGTCTTTCGCTTGATGATCTTTTCTGAGATGTCCCTAAAACTCGCGAAGATAGGATACGATACAACACAGAGGTGCGTGGTTGACAGCGAGATTGAGAGCTGTCCTCTTGCCACCAATCTCCAGCAGACGAGTGTCGCCGTCCTGGTGACCCGTTCATGTACTTACTACGCCGCTACAAAATGATCACCGCGGTCGTTTGTAAGCAGGTCATACACTTCTCGATGAAGCCGCTATCCCTGCACCACAGGGTGCACGCGATGCCACGCAATCTGCAGGCCCGGCCGATGAACGCTCTCGTCCTTCGAGGCAATTTCACAATGCAGGTTATTCATGACTGGCTGGCCATGTGTCTCCCCGACGTGCCTCCTCGGTAAGCGAGGACATAGAAGAAGCAACGTCATGCGATGCACTGCTACCCCGCTATTCTCGTTGACGGACGTGTAGTTTGTTTGTTGTTGTTGTTGCCACCATCAAGAAGAAAGTGTTTTGGCCTCTGCGACTCAGCGTCTCCCCCTCGTGCTTTGAATTAAGTGTTCCTACCGAGTCGTAGACGTGAGGGGCGAGGAAGCACGTGCGGCCTTCAGCTATAGCAAGATTAACGGCGCGTTAGCAACTAACGAAACGCCTTGGAAAGTACACCTAGTGCAGGCAATGTAAACGGTATCACTTCTAACAAAGGACAAGCATCCTAATAGCGACCGTAAAAAGCATCGCAGAATCAAAGAAAGGAAAAGGGTGGTGGTGTCACTTTCCCTTATTTTTCGTTGTGAACGACATCACGAAGGATATCGGCAGAGGCCGAGGACGCGACGCTTAACTTCGAGAACGTCTTTACCGGAGGCATTCTGACGGCGTCGTACAGGCGAGGGGCGGCAGTCGTCAGCTCGGACAGCGCCAGCACGCTGGCCATCGTCAAGGAGCTCATCAGCAAGGAGGCCACCTCTCGGCGCGTTCACATCACAGATACATTCCAGGTGCTTGTTTGGTTTCCACTTACCTCTGTCGGCTTGGCGACACGAACGTGCAACCGGCTCCTTGCAGGTCAACTTGTCTCCACCGCTAACCATCTTTGTTTCTCTCAACCTCTTGTCGTATCTTCATCTCTTTCTCTGTCACCGTTCATCTACGTTTATGATTTCCTTCGCGTTTGAATCGTCTCAGGAATTTTGTAGAATCAACCTGGTTAGCTGAATCAATCCTTTGGGTTGTCTCCGAAACGACACTTCGTGCGAGGTCTTTGTTGCTCTAGTACGTTTGTGGGTGGGTGGGTGCCTTCGTGAACAGGAAACACTCTATACGCAACCCCAAGCGATCAAATTTTGGTCGAAGAGACTGAGCAAGATGACTGTAGATTGATCAACCTACGTAGAATGAAGAAACAACAGGAAGGGCGAGGAAGACCGAGCAAGGATGTTGTTCATCCTCGCAGACCCATTTAAACTCTACACGCACATCTTAACTTCCATCCATTGGAATACTTTCTCGTGCTCCTCCCGCATGTATTGCCGTGGTCCTGCCTTTATCCGTCTCTTTCGCCGCACTACCAACATCCCCGGTGCTCGTTGGGACGGGTCTACTGCATGTCTTTCGACGGATCGGCGAATCCTCTGGATGGATCGCGGAATTCTCATGGATGCTTGTCCACTTTGGGGCGGAACGGATGGCGATTAAACGGCTTCCTCCGGAAAAACTCTGCGGGCTGACATCCAAAACAGGGAGAGCCAGAATCGATCCCCGTGTTTCTTAAACTGCTTGACCCGAAACTCAACAGGCAGTTTCAGCTCGCCCACCAGGTAGAGTGCCCTAAACACGACTTACTGTGTGTGTAGCATACGTGCTGTGGCCGTGCCATGTTGAAGGGATGTGCAACAAGGCCGATGGCGTATTGTTTCTCTCTTTCTTTGCAAACCGTAAGCAGGTTGAGGTGATGGGTGCCTTGAAAGAAATATCGATGCAAGAGCCCGAGACGCCGTGGATGTTCGAGGAATACCGTTACACCCTGGACAACGCCGAGCGAATACAGAAGGTGCCATGCGATGTCGTGCCATCTGCGGAATAACTTTCGGACTAGAAGTTCCTCCCGGAAACAATACAGAGCCTGGTGTGTAGACCAATACTGCCGGAAAAATGAAGAACACACGAACTAAAAACGGACCAATCTTTCCCAAAGTACTTAGGATGGTATGAATACAGTCATGCGGCGCTGTGTTCAGCTATGTCTTGCCCGTTGCGTCGCCTTCCTTTCAAACACGTTTCTTTACATGACGTACCCAAAGGGCACATTGTAAAACGCGCGTACGAAAAAATATTTGGCCATTGCACGGCGTGGTCGCCATGAAGTATGGTACAGGTGTGTCTCGTACAACTCCACACTCTCCAGAAGGCTAGTGTCGTAGAAAGGCTTCAATGAGTGCACCTTGGTGACGAACCGACGTCGAAATCGCGAAGCAATTATCACCCAAGACGGTGAAACAGGTATCACCCACCACCTGATACACGTACTTCTACCAAGTAGCTGCGATGTGGGTTCTGGACATGAACGTGGCATAGAAACGACGGCTTCTCCGCACTATCAATGAAACTCACCAGCCGGGGCTACGTGTAATGGTGGTACAACTTGTTTTCGTTTGTGCTACGTAACGTTGGTGCGATTTCGCGGAACATACCACTCACGATATCAGGAGTTCAAGGGCCGGCCAAGAGCCCTCGAGTACATTTCAGGAATCATCACGGATCTTTACGTCGACTGGCATAAATTCAAAGGTATGGCACGGTGAAGGAAGCCAATGGATACGATGCAATTCCTTGGGCTAAATAACATCATATGTAGGTAATGGATGTGTTGACTGGATACACGGGCTGCATTGGCCGGGGTTCCGACAGAACCGGCCCCATGGTTCTCTGGGGGAGAAACAACCTCCGTAGCTCGCTGTCCGTACATTTAGACCCATACTGGTTGGTTTTCCTCCGAGAAATCAGGGAAAATCTGTCAAGAGACATTTTGTTGGACACTGTGACCTTAACCGCTCCGGACGCTGCTGCATATCCTCTCTCGTGCTTTTCCAATCTGCGAAAAAACATGATACAGGGGACGACGCTCGGCACCGCATCCCGGAACTGGAGCACCTGCTAGTCTCCCAATACGACTACAAAGCCCTGGTGGTCTTCTTTCTGAAACACCCTTGATGCTCTCTGCTTCGAGCCTGGAAGGCGGCTCCACTCATCAAAAAGCACGGTCGTGGTGTAGTGCTATGAGACGCCCGCACGCGTTGTTAGCCTGGCCGGAGAAGGGGGTTGAGTTTCCACCGCTCTTGTTCTGCCTGTAGACAGGTCGTCGAGTGTCCTCGGAGGAGAACGAACGTTCGCCTGAGGACAGCGATATTCTTTCGAGGTTGACAAGCATGATAGAGTAACAATATGAGTACCACTGGTTCTCCACACGCACTAGCCCTCTCCCGGCGTGGCTTGTTGCTCTTGTCTGACCCGGTCGATCGATAATAAAGCGAAACAATGCCAAAGATGGCGAGCTTGGAGGTGCAGCTGCTACTTGTGTCATAAACCTGAGCAGGTTTTGATTTATCCAGGAGGAGGTTGAAGGGCGTACAATCGTGAGGCACCCTACAGATGATGTCAGAACACCTGTAGTCCCGTTTCGATTTAGAGAAACGCTTCGACTTTCTGTGGTTACGTGGTGTGTGAAGAATTTTAGTTCTGATGTAGCGTCTATTGGCCAGTGTCTCCCGCTGATCGAGCTAAGCTCCAGTGAGAGCTAGCGCCAGCAACAATAACAACGGTTCGCGGCGCGTGCAGCTGTGAGGGCGTGTAGGAACTACTATACCAGTCGCCTGGTGCTGTTGTTCTTGTTCTGTGGTATGTTGTTGCCGTCGTGCATGGGGTAGCATCACCTCACTCTCTGTTTAGGATGTAGGCTGGGTCGGTGTCGGGTTGGTGAAAGCAAGGCAACGCTTCCTCCTCCGGTTTCTTTTCGAGGATCAGGATCTTCTTGAAGTAAAGCTAGAGTGCAGGTGGTTGATCATTGCCATGTGAAATCCGTGCGACAGCAACAAGGTGAGCGAGATCGCAGTGGACCAATTCCGGGATCTTCTGGCGATGTATTGGTTGAGCTGTGGATTTACTGCTTGATTGGATATAGTCGACAATCTAAAGGACAACAAGTTAATTCTGACGTTTTGATCACAGACAGTGAATCACTGTATTTGTAAGGCCATTGTTTCTCGACCCACTAAGGACATGTACATCAGTGAAACGGATAAAACCGTGGCCGCCGAAAAAGCGGGCAGCGATAACTGTATGTAGCGAGCCAGTAGGATTTGTGACAGATTCGCCCGAAATAAACAACACAGCGCTTAAGACACTGATATTGCGGGTTAACCATCTGTATCATCGCTGTTTATCAGCCACTTACGTATGAGAATGGATAGATCATAAGATGTCCAAACAGCCTGGGGCGTTTAGTTGCCACCTTTGTGTCCTTCCTATTCACACGCAATCAGAAACAATGTGCATGATGTTCTCGAGTACACCCTTTCGTGATCAATTTTCTTGTGTCGTCATCGTCGTTTCCAATCCTGCTATTGTATACCCTCTCGAACCAAAGGCCCCTCCCTACAAATATGTTGGCCAAAAACTGTCGCCGACAACGGTATAGAGGCCAAACATCCGCAGAGTTGGCAAAAAAGCTGCGACTGACGACGACAACGCAATGAGTTAAACTCTTCACACCCATACTTTAACTTGTCGCGCGCGCTCAGCAAGCAACAGAGGCGCTAAACCCGCGATTTTGGTTGGTTACCAGGTCAAGTTCGCAGTTGAAGCTCTGCCCTCTTTTCCCGCGCAACCTACAATACATTGCGTCTGCCCCCAAAAGTATCCCTCCCCCCCGCAATTGAAACCACGAAACAGGTCAAGACAAGAACAAGCCAATACCAAAAACTAACCCTGATGGTGTGGAAAATATCAGGGACAAACACTTCGTTAGGCATCCGCAAAAAGGCGCGTCCACCCCGCGTTGCCGCGTAACACCCAAGAACCGGGACACAGTAGTAGCATCACACAACGAACATTGGAAGAAGGACGCCATCAAATCGATCCCAGCTATAGGTTCGCCGGTTGTCACTAGGTCAGCCAAGGCAGTCCCCACGACGCTTGTGTCCGCGCTCCAAACAACATGAAAACATTCAGGAAGGACAAGAAACACAAACTTGAAAACTGTAATTTGCCCAATCCCCCTCCAGCCGCCAAACCTCGAACCTGTTTAAATGGACCACCCGTATGAAAATTTAAACTGTACTGCTCCAGATTCTGCTCCCGCTTTTTCGATAACGTCGTGTGGCAACAATCGAGCTGCCCCCCCCCCCCCCCCGCCAATATCGACTACCCTTGCCCGTAGTCTTACTCCCGCGTGAATCAGATACAATTTCTGCCTTTAGCAAGTTCGGCAGACGCTACAAATACAATACACACAGTAGCAGTTGAATTCTGCCTTGGCAAGGTTGTGGCAGCACCCGTTGCACCGAGCATAACCTCTTCGCTGCGCCCACCGCGCGCGAGGGTCGCGCCTCGCCTCCGTACAAAAAATAAGATAGTATACTTCCCGTCGCGAAGCTCAAGTCGTAGAACCCACACTTGTCCCCAGACGGGTGTTTGCCGAAGGGGCGTGTCAACCACAGGGATTACGAACACGCGAGACTTCAAGGGTTGTTGTGTGGTATTGGTGTGTTTTGTTTTAGCACTCGATGCACTCGCAGTCGTCCGGAAGGCCCTGCTCGGTACAGAAGTTGTCGCAGCTTGTCGCGCAGAAGCGGCAGCTGAAAAAAATAGAGAACGTACGAGGACGGCGCCGAGGAAGGGAGGGGGTAAGACGGTGAGAGCGCTGACGTAGAGAGAAGGGTTACGGTTGGGAGCAATTGAAACGAGGGGTTTCCCGGCGACATTACTCCCTCCTCTTCAACCCTATGTTTGACTCTTACGCAGGTTTACCTAAGGTGTACGTCCTCTGTGCAATATCCTGTGGTTGTTGTAAGAGAGGTACGATAACGGCGAGGATTATGGTAGTTCGTACCGCAGCCCAATTAGGGAGGCAAAGGAAAGCACTTACCCGCTGAGCCCCAAGGCGTCGCACCACAAACCACCGCCGACGAGGCAACTCTCCTCGCAAGTCAGCCCGCGGCTCCGCTCCACCAGAAGGCCCTTCATCGAAGGCTCCAGCTGGTCGTAACAAGTGTCGGAGTCGCCGGGAGTACATTCCGTGAAGGTCACGCCAGATGCGGGGGAGGCGGACATGATCGGAATACCGCGCGACGTGCTGGAAGTGGGAGAGGCCGTCGCGATCTCGCGCGAGGTGCTGGTTGGCGACTGCGTCTCGAAGTCGATTCCTCCCCTCGACATGTCGTTGCTGGCAGTTGGTGATTGGGTCTCGAAGTTGAGCCCGCCCCGTGATCCATCGCTCGTTGTCGGGGACTGAGTCTCCTTGTCGAACCCCCTCATACCACGAGTAGGTGATGGAGTCTCATAACCAGTTGATCCCGGCGTAGGCGACACCGACGGCTCGAGGATCTCGGAGGTAGTAGGTGCCATAGACGGTGAATCGATCTCCCGGTCTGTTGTGGTTGGCGAAGCGGTTTCCACAGTCGTCGGCATGCCGTCGGTAGGAGCCGAGGTAGTCTTCTGCACGCTGGTGGGGGCCATAGATGGTGAATCGATCTCCCGGTCTGTGGTGGTCGGCGAAGCGGTCTCCACAGTCGTCGGCATGCCGTCGGTAGGAGCCGAGGTAGTCTCCACCACACTGGTGGGAGCCATAGATGGTGAATCGATCTCCCGGTCTGTGGTGGTTGGCGAAGCGGTCTCCACAGTCGTCGGCATGCCGTCGGTAGGAGCCGAGGTAGTCTCCACCACGCTGGTGGGGGCCATAGATGGTGAATCGATCTCCCGGTCTGTGGTAGTTGGCGAAGCGGTCTCCACAGTCGTCGGCATGCCGTCGGTAGGAGCCCAGGTAGTCTCCACCACGCTGGTGGGAGCCATAGATGGTGAATCGATCTCCCGGTCTGTGGTGGTTGGCGAAGCGGTTTCCGTCGCGGTCGGCATGCCATCGGTAGGAGCCCAGGTGGTCTCCACCACGCTGGTGGGAGCCATCGATGCTGA